TGGGAAAGTTATCCCAGCTCTCTGGGACCTAGGGTTGAGTTCTCTGAAAGGGCCGGACTACTACAAGCCCAGAAACCCTTGTGCAAAATTCTAAAATCCCAAAGCTCTCTGAAAACCAAGTTTTTTCTGTACCTTATTTGGCAGCAAAACTTGACCAGAACTGACATAAGGCTCTTCGGAGTCTTTATTAATGGGACTCAGTCTTAGAGCAAAAATTTAATTTGATTATAAGATGCTCCCCCAGACCCTACTGGGTGTGTTAAAACATAGTATATGCACTTTTTTACTTTTCTAAAATCAGTAAATCCTCATGCGTTAGGATAATTCATATTATATCTTACAAGGCCTGTCGGGAGGATGAAATGAGAAACTGGGTGTGAAATAACTGGTATCATACAGAGTAAGGCTTTGGGGTAAATCATTGTTGTTGTTAAGTGCCATTGAGTCATCTCCAACTCATAGTGACCCTATGTACAGCAGAACGAAACACTGCCCGGTCCTGGGCCAGCCTCACGATCCTTGCTATACCTTAGCCCATCGCTGCAGCCACTGTGTCCAATGCCTTTTCATATCAGAAATATTAACAGACGGTTCTCACTTTAGTGCCTATGACTTTTATTATTAGCTGTGCTGGTTTCACTTCCAAGTTCAAGGCATGCTAGAGAAACTCAATTAGTTAGGTGGTGATTAGTTTTTATTATTTTGAAATAGTTTCAGTTTTCATACTAGATGTTGACTCGATCTACCAAGTGTGTAAATCGTAGGTACCAAAATGAGACTCATGTCACTAGAACGTTCAGGAAATATTGTAGGGAACAATAACCATCTGAAGGCTGCTCCCCATTGAGCTTTGGCTACCTTCACAAAGAGAGATGGAGCCCTTACAAGCTGCACTCAGTGTCTGCCTTGTAGGAAGGGGAGGCACTGCACACTGCTGAACCAGGCCTGGGATGGACTCTTCCACCAGCTCCAAACACAGAAGCAACGAGGGCCCCTCAATGAGAGTAGGAAAGCCTCACCTGGCCAAACTAGCATGGAACTGGCCACTCAGCCCTGCTTCACAAACACTGTGCTGACATAAATAATTTTCTGTCTAGAGCTTTCCTTAGGAGCTCTGGTAGCATAGTGCCTAAGGCACTTGACCGCTAACCAGAAGGCTGGCAGTTCAAACCCACCAGCCACTCCTCGGAAGGAAGGTTGGGCAATCTACTTCCGTAGTGATAACGCCTCGGAAACCCAAGGAGGGGTCGCTATGAGTCAAGGCTGACTCGAAGGCACATAACAACAACAACAGGACTTTCCTTTAAGATATTTGAAGATCATGTGGTGAGGGAGAAAAAAAGACCCAAGGCCCAGTAAGCAATGTTTATAATAGTGTAGTAAACAATGTTTATAATAATGTATGATGACCTCATGTGAAATCTCGATCCAAGCTGATAAAAGACCTTGAAACTCCTTGTCAATTTTATTTCTATAAGATGTGGAACTATCACATCTTTCTGCCTATTATACAACATGAATAGACACCACAAGTTATGGGACTCTTATCCAGCCTTCTAAGGTACCATCCCACAGGGCTACTTACGTAACTTGGTAGATCAATTCATCTAATATGAAAACTGAAACTATTTCAAAATAATAAAAAACGAATCACCACCTAACTAACTGAGTTTCTCTAGCATGCCTTAAACTTGGAAGTGAAACCAGCACAGCTAATAATAAAAATCACAGACACTAAAGTAAGAACCGTCTGTTGACATTCCAGATAAGAAAAGGCATTTGAAAAGGTCTTAAATTGTAACTTCAATAAAATGTTTGGGGTTTTTCCCCAAATAGGCTTTCTCTTCAAGGGCATTTTATAGCAGTGCATGGGTTATCCTTTCAAATCAGGCTTGTGCACCTGCTATTGTAGTTCCTTTGTTTTCTGCTTCTAAGTACTACCGGCAGAAGGTGCACATGTGTGTACGATTGGAGTATGGCCTCTCACATAACACACAGGACGTTCCCCAAGATGGCGACTTGCCTTCAGCAGAGTTTGTACGTCGGAAGAGCATGATACGTGCCAGTGGAATGGACTCATTAAAGCAGGAAGACTATAGATGAGTCTCATTCAACTCACAGATGAAGGCAGGACAGTTTGGTATCTGTGGAGATAACTTTCCCTTTGAAAATCCTGACTGGCTTCCCACTGACCCCAGGATTAGGTCTAAATTCTAAACCCACAACATGATTTATGCAGCTCTTCTTTGTCTGGCTCCAACCCATTTTTTCTTTTGCTTTGTTTTTTAAGAGCTCTTCCTTTAACCCACACTGGCCTTACTGAAATGTCTCAGATGTGCCAAGTTCTCTCTTCCTTTGGGGCTCTGTAGCTGCTGTTACTTCTGACTAGAGCAACCCCATTCTTCCCCCACTTCCTATGCCTTTTTCAGTTCTCAGTTGATACTGTGGATTCCCAACAGAGACAGATATCCCTTATAATCCAAATGAGGCAGTTGTCCTTGTCATGTGCTCCCACAAGTCTCCTTGCTTTTCTATCATGGAATCGCCAAACTTGATTGCTGTTGTTTCTTTCTGAACTGTCGGTTCTCTGAGAGCAGGAACTATGTCTGTCTTATTCATCTCTGCATGAACAAATGTCATACAAACACTGACACAGAATATTGTGAATTATTTAAATGAATCTTCTTCCTTTAAAAATATATGTCAGCCTCCTCTTTGATCACATATGCAGAGGCTGGTTGACCAAGCAGTATTCTAATCGTTTCCTGGCATAGGTAGAAAAATAATGTATTCGCATTCAGATTCTTTCAATTCATGTAGTAATTCTGGGAAGCCCTGCTACATCCTTGAAGTATTCTAAGTTAAACGTGAAGCAATGAGGTGTACATGTCAGTATCATTACTGTGCACAATGTGACAACCAGAATGGAACCGTGTACAGACTTGCACAGATGAATTACCTTCAAAGGGACAGAAACCAATCCTGTGGCAATGTGATATGGGGGATGAGATTGGCAATTAGCGTAGAAGGAAATGTTGAGGCAATTAATGCTGGGGGAAAAATTTGAACTCCAAGTTGTTCTAAGGCAGCCTCAGGCTTGGCGGGAAGCCTGACAGACAACCAACCAACATCCCTGTATCCATCTGTCTGTCCCACGTCAGAAAACCAGGGGCAAAGACAGAAGGATCTTTAGATTAGACAACTGTTCATATGGTAGGAGTAAAGTAGGGGGACAATATGGCAAAGTGTTCAATAAAGAGATGGAGTAGATAAAACACAAAATTCCCACTGAGCATGTAAACTTGAGAGAAGGTTCTGTAATGAAACAATGCAAAGGAAGGGTAGGTGGGTGGAGAGGGCTGTAACTGGCAGAAATAGGAGAGCCATGGCTATTGGCCTCACACGTGATAAGAAGCTGAGATGCCTGCAGAACGCCTGTCCATCAGTAGGACTGCAGGCTCTTATGCATGTCCTTTAGGGTCACTGCTTGTGAAATACGCTCCCCAGATTGGGCTGAAATCCAGTGGCACAGATTTCTTACAATACCTACATGATGACATCTCTGTGCCAGGCCAGCCCACAACAAAGAACTTAGAGTGAACTTGATAACTAAAGGTCTTTGGAAAAAGCCAACCAGTCACTGTTACACATTGGCAAAACCTTCCCCTGAAAGTTTCCTTTGCCTGCAACACTCAGCTGACCATTGCCACAGAAAAGAAAAACCTTATCAAAAAAAAAAAAAAAAAAAAAAAAACAACAAAACCCTGTGTTCCTCCTCTACCCCTCTCTTTCCTTCCTGAATAATTTAGTCCATAAGCCAGTAGATAGAGCTGAGCAACATGGAAGTCTGCACTGGAAATGGGAAGAGCCACAGTGGCCCAGAACAGTGTGCTGGAGCCAGAGCTGGGTGAGCCAGAGCTGGGTAAGAAAGGCTTAGTGGTGGTGGTGGGGGGGGAGGCAGAGATGGATGACCTGGCGTCCAGTGGTGGAGCCTTCAATGGCGTGAGGAGGGTGTTGGTATGCTTATCTCAGCATGGACCAGTAACAAAGAGTTCATGGACTTGCTCAGACCATATTTTGAGCAGCACTTCTCTATGGTGTGATGTGTAGACTCCCAACTTCCATCTGCTATCATATCCACATGGGAAATAAAGACTCTACCAGCCACACTGTTGTCCACAGTGGCGTGGCAACAACAATTATCACTATAAGTAACATGACTATCTATATACAAAGTATCCAAGAAACCAACCTAGCAGATAATATGTGGGGATTAAAGACCCATCTTTTCTTATATGGTCAAATGAGAAGTCTGATGACCCACCAATTCCAAAGTAATCGCTTTATCGTGACTTGAAAGGAGACAAACCCAATCACGCACAAGAAGGACCAAAATATCTCCTATGGATCAGTCTGCAGCACTGAGTCATAACTATCATCACTGAGAAGGGAGCCAGCATTCAAAGACATTAGTAGGGCATATTCCAAAATCAGATGGGTTTGATTTAACTATAGATACTGACTGACCCACCAGCCATTCCTCGGGAGGAAGGTGAGGCAATCTACTTCCGTAGTGATACCGCCTCAGAAACCCAAGGAGGGTCACTATGAGTGACTCGAGGGCACATAACAACAACAACAACATAGATGCTGAGGGTCAAGGTGACTGATTGGAACTTAGCCCACACATGTGCCACACGCAACCCCTCCCTCAGCCGAGAGAGTCCCTTCAAATAAAAGAGAACAATTCCCTGCAATGAAGCAAAGCCACAATGAAAAGGGAGCTATTCCATCCTCTGGGAAGTGGCAACCACCATCCAGGTTCACCATTCTTCCAGAGGATGCTCTGGCACTCTTGTTGCATGTCCCCAAATGCTGAAATACTCATGCCAGTGTCCCCCATCCACACCTAGAAGAGGCTTCACATAGAAACCTGTTCATTGGAACCAACAATGCCAATTTGCACAGCCCCTGTCTCTGGCAACAGGCCCTTGGCTTACCTGGGGCAGTCTTGTAGCTTGTTGTTCTGGAGGGCAGCGATGCAGCCTTCTTCGCCCTGGGGCTCGGAGTACTCTGCAAAACTTGTCTCTGCCTCTTCAGCTCCTCTTCCCTTTCCTGAGCTGCTCGGATCTCTTCTTCAATCATGGACAAAGTCCGCTGCTTTCTTGACCTCAGCTTGAAGGGCCCGACCATCACATCTGATTCTTGAGTGGCCAGTAGGGAGGCTGTGCTTCTCAGCTCAGCTGCCTCTGAATATTTGCTAAAGTAGCCCCCTTCGGGCCTGGTCTCCTCCATGTTTACTGGGCCGCTGGGCTGCACGGCAGGCAGTGGCTGGGAGGGCCCCCTTTCCCTGAGCGCTCTGTCTTCAGCAGGCAGAATCTTTGGTAATACATCTCTTTTTTCTCGAACAGGAGAAGACACCTGAGGTGGCTCGAACATGCTCTGAGGCTTCTCTGAGCAGGGAGGCCGGGTTTCAGCTTCCTCGAGAGTTGCTTCAGGTCCCTGTTGTTCCACTCCATCCTTGGTTTTAGACACAACTTTATCAACTTGCTCAGCAATGGCTTGTTGAATGGCATTCTGCACAAGGAGACCAGCCTGATATTCCAAGGGGTCATCGACTGATGGAGAGTCACCCAGTGTGGAAGAAGGGGAATAGAAACCATGATCACTAAATGACTTGGAGACACCTTCTCCTCGGCCCTCTGAGGGGTTGTCAGTTTGTGGAGTCTGGGGCAGAGAAAAATCAGCCAGGGAATTTTCCTGGAGAGCACTGGTTGTCTCGTTGGAGGCCCCACTGTCACTGATGTTGTCCATGCTGAAATCATTGGACAAGGTCTCCAGGACAGTGGTATCCTGGGACCTCACTGACAATTCATCCAAACCAGAGTCAAGCTCCTCTGGGGTCAAAGAGACATTGACTGATTTTGAGAAATGATCCAAAATCCCATGGTCATCATCCTTGACTACAGTGAGGACTGCCCGGGCACTTGTAAACTCTCTGTCCTCTGTCCACAGTTTAGATAATGGCCCGCGTTTAGAGGGCTCACTGTAGGGCCCTTCCCTTCCCTGAGGGGCCGCGCTGCCCTGGCCTCCTCCCATGGTCTGGCTCTCAAGGGCACAGGCTTTCTGCTCCTTGGCTGTCAATGCCGCACTGTCTTCTGGAGGTCCTCCAATAGAGGCTGGTCTGGAGACGGTCACTGGCTTCTCTGAGTTGATTGATCCCAGAGGCCTATAGAAGGGCTTGATGGAGAATAGCCTGGGTGTACTCTGGCCCTTAGTCCCTGTTTGCCTGGAATTCTCCATCAGCTGAAACTGTTTACGAGCAGCAGAGAAATCTATCTGCTCCGTGACGATGTCCTCCTTTGCATTTTCAGTCATGGCTGAATGTTCCCGAGAGGAAGCAGGGGCCGGGCAGAACTGCAGCGGGGGCTGCTGCTGCTGTTGTTGCTGTAGCAGCAACTGTTCCTGCTGCGCCCTTCTCTCCTTGCGCTCCTTGTACCTTCTGTGTGACTCCAGATGCTCTTCATCTAGCTGCTCCTCGATGGTTTTCTCCTGAGGGGGGTTCCACCATTTGGCTGCAATGCCAGGATTCTTTTTCACAGCCTGGCTGCGGATGAGTTCCCTCCTTTCCTTCTCCAGCTCCAGCATCTCTTCTGAAGGCCTCACTTTCCTGACACAGTACTGTCCTTTCTCACTCTCGTCATCCTCAAAGAGCTTGGAGGGCTTCTTGTCTTCGTGGAAGGCCCGCAGCTCAAACTTGGCTTCTTTCTTCAGCGTAGTGAGCGTAAACTCCCCATCTCGGGAAGAACACCGGGAGCTGGTTGAGGAGCTGGGGCTCACAGGTGCCTGCAGGCTGTCTCCCAGGGTATCTCGGGGCTGGCCGTGAGGGTGGCCGTTTGCTCTTTCGCCTTCTGCCATGGTGTCAGAGTTGCTTTTACTGAGCTCAATGTGAGGAGGCGCCTGCCTACCAGCTGCTCTCTCAGTGGGTGCTGGCTGGATGGCTGTGTGGGCAGGTGGGATCGGGCTGCCCCCCAGGATGGCTGTGCCAGGCTCTGGGGAGGATGCTCCGTTGTATGTTCCGTCCACAGCAGAATCACAGCAGTTGGCCTCCAGCACCTCGTCTAGATATTGGATCTCTCTGGCCACATCGTTATCCAGGGATTCATGGTGATCAGTGAGGAGACCGTTGTGGGGAGGTGAATAGAAAGGGGAGGGGTGGTCCATGGAATGTGGGGTCAAAGTGATTCCAGGAACACTTTTACATTCTGTAACTGAGACCTCAATTTCCATTTTTGGGGGGTCTGGGGAAAGAGAGCTGGTGGCAGGCTCCAGGAGGTTGGCGCTACGGTTCTCTCCCTCGGGCTTTAGCCGGATATCATCCTCAGAAAGCTGGGGAGACTTCTGGAACAAAGAGGAAACAAAAGCCAGGGTTAGACGCCACATCTTGGATGGAGGTAAACACTGAGAAATTAACTTATAACTAACTGGAAGGAAAATTAACTGTGACAAGTTCTTCTTAATAGAGATTCCCCCTCTAATAATCCTTTAAATATTCCTTTTGCTGCGGTTCCTGATACCTAACCCTCTCATTTTCCACATCATTTTGTTTACTGGGTGTCCAGAGAATTTTCAATAAATGATAGTCCCATTTTAAATTCAAAAGTAAATTAGACTTATGGAAATGCTGGACAGAGTGGGAGAACAATGTGGAAAAAAAATTCAAAATCATAAAAAAAAAAAAAAAAAAACCCAGCCTTACTGGTCTTTACTGATAAAGCCTGGTGAGACCCCAGAGACTATGGCTCCTAGTTACCATTGAGGTCTGGAACTGAACTCACTCCTGTGGCTTCCAGCCAAACAACTAACAGGCATATGGGGTGAACATTTACATCAGGGAGATACACTTCTTACAGTGATTAATTGTGGGCAGTGTTTGCACAGGGAGATAGCTGCGGGGGGTGGGGGGGGGACAGGGAGAGTACCTGGGAGGGAAGGATACATGGAGAGTAAGTGGGAAGAGAGCTGTCACACTGTGGGGAATTATAATCAACGTCATGAAACAAAATGAGCATAAACTGCTGTATGGAAAATGAATTTGCTCTGTAAACTTTCATCCAAATCACGATAAAAATTGAAAAAAAAAACAGAAGTAATTTAGACTTAAGTCATCTGAAGACACTGCTCAAATATTTCTTGAAAGTGGAAACTGATGACATAGCTAATGTACCAGAGTCAATGACAATATTTCAGAGCAAATTACTTCAGGCGATGTCTATTTGTGTGTCCTCAACTGTGAAAAAGAAGTCCTTTTGCATTAACAAATCTTGAAAACTTATGATTCTCTGCCAGATTTAAGGCAACAGTTCTGGAAACAAGAAACTTTTTTGGGAAATCTTTCCAAAATAAAGGAGTTCCAGTGGCATGGTCCCTAAGTAAGGCATTTGACTGCTACCAGAAGGTTGGCGGTTCAAACTCACCAGCCACTCCATGGAAGGAAGAGTGGACAATCTACTTCTGTAAAGATTTACTGTCTCAGAAACCCAGTGGGGGTTGCTATGAGTCGGAATCAACTCAATGACAGTGAGTATGGTTTGGTTCTTGGTTTCCCAAATAAAATACTGTAACACAGTAGATCCCTTCAGTGGTCCCTTTAAGGCTACAGAGCCCCACAGTAATGACTGCCGTTGACCATGAGCATTATACACGTAAGAATCTAAGCCACTGACTGCACTGTTCTGTTCTCTGGGATTGCATCCAAACTACACTCCTTAGTTAAGATGTGAGTGTTGCTTTCAGTGGTCAGTGGCACCTCCCTCCAGTTTCTAAGATGCTCTATAAGTGATAGCTCTAATTTCTGGTTAAACAAGAAGAACATTATCTTCTCTATGGTTGCTATTTTTTAAAGCCACCATTTTCCCTCCATTTGTTCTCTCAAACCAAAACCAAACTGACTGCCATTGAGTCCAACTCACAGCAATTCCCTTTGAGTTTCCAAGGAAGTCAATCTTTACAGAAGTAGATCATCCAGTCTTCCTTCTGTGGAGTGGCTGGTGGGTTTGAACTGACAACCTTCTGGTTAGCAGTCAAATGCCTTAGGCACTATGCCACCACAGCTCCTTCATCAGTTATCTAGCCTATGCAATTTTGTGATTTGGCATTAGTAAGATTAAAGTTTAAATTTTGGGATGATTTGTATATATATTCATATATATATGAATGGATGAATAAATAATTTATTTATTTTCCCCCTCTCCCCCATACTAAAGCACTCTAGTTCGTCTCAGAGAATTACAGCAGTAAATTGTGAACTTAGTTTGAATTCCCCTGAAGGATTTCACTAACATCATACAATGCAAACTTGGACTCTGGCTTATTCTTACTCATAAAAATTTTAAACTATTTTGAAGGCTTAGAACATACATAAAACACCATTGTAGGATGATTTTCAGGGGATTAATTTCAAAATCCTCCCAAGGAAAGTGGGTAATTATGGATTTGTTTATGAGACACAGAAAAACATGGGGGTTCATCCCAGATCCTCTGCATGGCTGTCAGAACCCCAAACCAAACCCACTACCATCAAGTTGATTCTAATTCACAGTGACCCTACAGGACAGAGTAAAACTGCCCCATAGGGTTTCTAAGGCTGCAATCTTTACAGAAGCAGACTGCCTTATTTTTATCCAGAGGAGTGGCTGGTGAGTTCAAACTACTGGCCATTTGGTTAGCAGCCAAGCACTTTAACCACTGTGCTACCAGGGCTCCTCATTTCAAGTATTTCTAGGTCAAAGTTAGCAAAATTCATAGAAAGTTATTACTGGGAAAAACAGACCAACTAAAAGAGACGGTGCTGCTATGGTGAGAATCAGATGACCTGTGCCATTGCCACCCATAGTTTCCAAAATTTACTCAAAGATTTACTGCTAATAATCTTCATGATAGCACAACTTTTCTTCAATCCCTTTTGGTTTTTTGGAAAAAAGTAGGAAAATAATGGGACTGAAATATGGTTAAAATTCACTGCTCTGCTGAAATATAAACCAGTTTTAAAAGTTGTTGACAAGAGAGGAATAGGGCAATGTAACCTAAATGGAAGCTAAAAGGCAAATTATTGTGTAGTTCATTTGTTCATTAATTCATTCATTACACACACAGGAAGCTTACTCTGCAAGACTGTAATGAAATTAACAGCAACAATAAGCTACAGGACAGTAAATATACTCTTTTCTTAACTCAAATTGAATTTCCCACACTTCCTAGAAAGCAGTAAGTCTATTTCAGAATTTACGTAGTCTAGGTGGCTAAGGCACTTGACTGCTAACCAGAAGGCTGGCGGTTCAAACCCACCAGCCACTCCTCAGAAGGAAGGTTGGGCAATCCTACTTCCGTAGTGATACTGCCTCGGAAACCCAAGGAGGGGTCGCTATGAGTCGGGGCCGACTCGACGACAAACAACAACAACAACAACAACAACAACAACAACAGGTCAACAGGAGTGAGAAACTTGCTTCTATGTCTCTTGTTGCTAATTCCAAAGACAGGAAGGGCGTGGCCTAACTCCCCAACCTTCCCCAGGAAAGCTTTGGCTCCTCCCATCAGCACCGCCCTTTCTCAATGTCCTGAGCATTTGAGGACAGAGGAGCCATGTCCTGCCAGCTTTTTCTTCTTAAACTCAAAATTTATATCAACTTTTTCTAAGGCATACTTTCTGAACTAGAAATAATTGTTCCTATACAACATTGGAAAAATCAGAGAATACCGTTTGATAGTACATTGTTGCAATGTGTCAAAAACACTGCCTTTAGCTATGAGTCAGAAATAATACCCAGCCTCATTAATTCTGTCTTCTACAATCTGAGAAACTGAAATTTAAAAAATGCTAATTACTGCTTAAAAGTCCAGGTGTAGGGTCTCGATGTGATTTGCCATGGTTCAGCACTGAAAGAATCCCTAGACACTGGAGAGTGTGAACAGGAGATATCTCCTTCCTGTTAGTTCCACAGCTTCAGAAACTTCTTCCTGACCCCCAAAACTCCACGCACCGTGGCAAGCAACAGCTCTAACCCCCAGTAGAGACATCTCCGCATCACTAAGTCATAATCCTGCAGAAGAGGCTCTCGATCTGTGTAAAGGCAGGCAATAATCAAAACAAAACAGCAAATTCCTGAGTCTACCCTCAGTACAAGGAATTTACCTTCATGCGAGATGGCCTGATGTGATCAAACCCACCAGTCCTGACAACAGGTAAATGGAAATCCCACGTGTCTGCATTTGGCAGGAGTCTGTGTTTGGTATCATTAAATGATGCCTTGTTTTAAACCAACGTTTACTGCTCCCTTTGAAGATAAGAAAGGCCAGAATTTTCTCCATGCTTCAGATGAGGTGACCCTGATTCCAGATCCAGATAAAGTGCATCCATTAAATCATCTGGAAAGTTCTTTCTGAAATAAACTGTGCCCCAGCGCAGAAGTCAGGGAGATATGGAAGAACCGTCAATCTGGGTTTTCCAAGGTCAGAGGAAAACTAGGGCGCTAAGGGGTCCGTGGGGGATGTTCTGACTGCCCCAGCCAGTCGTACAGGTGGCCTCAACAGCAATGGCTCACGGGAGAACAACTGCTCACCCACCAGCTTCCCGGGATAGCTAACAGCTGGTGCGGATGTCTGCAATTTACTTTAAAATACTTGGCTATAGACAATATAACGTAGATGTGTGTGTCTGGAATTAGTTTTAATTACATCCCAGGATAGACAATCATCCTAAGCAGGAATAGACACTTCAGGAGTGGTCACTCCAAGTCTAACCAGAAAGCCAGTATCACAGGTGGCTTAGGCTTTCTTCCTCTCCCACTGACCCCAGGAGCTTTGCTAATTGGCATAAGAAAGTTGAGAAATAGGTTTTTGTTAGTGAAATTAGTGGCTCATTAATAAGCATAATGGATGGAAATCCGTTTTCATTGTGAAAGGGGTGGGGTTCAAAATGAGTGGATTCCCTTCATGAATGTGTGCCATCAAGTTGTTTCCAACCCTACAGTATAGAGCAGGACTGGCCCCATTGCGCTTCTTAGGCTGTAATCTTTAGGGAAGCAGATTACCAGGTCTTGGCTCCTTTGGAGCAATTGGTGGGTTTGAACTGCTGACCTTCCAGTGTGTAGCCAAGTGCTTAACCACTGTGCTAGCAGGGCTCTGTTCATGAACAGGATACACAAATAGAGTGAATGCTTCGCTAATATACACTTATGGGTGCTCTTTGCGGTATGAAGTCTCAACAGTCCTGTGTCCAGGTTTTGGTTCAGGGTATTTTGGTTGTCTAACACCTATGGAGCTCTGGTAGCATAGTGTCTAAGGCACTTGACTGCTAACCAGCAGGCTGGTGGTTCAAACCCACCAGCCACTCCTCAGAA